TGGATGCAGGGAATAGAGAGAGTGATGGAGGCTGGCAGATAACCCTTGGAGGTGAGATTGTCTCAGTAGAGCGAGGAGGACCCAGGAAGGCTCTGCAGGTGGGGAGGAGGACTCAATGGCAAAGGGGACTACTGTGGTCCCCTAGGGTGGGCAGAGCTGGGAAGAAGGGTCGTTTTTAAATATATATATCATTATGCCCAGCCAGTGTGGCTCAGTGGTTGAGCGTTGACCTATGAACCAGGAAGTCAATGTTCAATTCCCGGTCAGGGCACATGCCCAGGCTGCAGACTCAATCCCCAGTAGGGGGCGTGCAGGAGGCAGCCAATCAATGATTCTCTCTCATCATGGATGTTTCTATCTCTCTCCCTCCCCTTTCCTCTCTGAAATCAATAAAAATACATTTTTTTAAAAAGAGAGAAAAAGAAGATTATGTGCTCTCTTGAGGGTTAATACCCCTTCGAGGGATATTACTTCTGGTATTTCAAAGGTGTGTTAACCTAGATCAGTGATGGCGAACCTATGACACGCATGTCAGAGGTGACACGCGAACTCATTTTTTTGGTTGATTTTTCTTTGTTAAATGGCCTTTAAATATATAACATAAATATCAAAAATATAAATCTTTGTTTTACTATGGTTGCAAATATCAAAAAATTTCTATATGTGACATGGCACCAGAGTTAAGTTAGGGTTTTTCAAAATGCTGACACGCGGAGCTCAAAAGGTTCGCCATCACTGACCTAGATGCACAAGAGCAAAGGACAGGGCTGGCTTCAAACCTTCCACTGAAGAAGTGATAGGCCTGGGATGTGACTACCCAGCATGACCTGCCCAGTTAGGAGTTTGTGGTCAGATCTCCCTGTGAGGTTACTTTCCATAGAACCCCATTTTCATCCACAGTATGGACACCACCTTTTGTTTATTCATTCATCTGTTGACGGACATGTGAATTGTTTGTACCTGTTGGAGAAGGGATAATTCTCCCCCTTCTCCTCTTTAGTTCTTAATTCTGAACTAGTAATAAAATAATAAAATTGATACAAGACTAGATTAATAGGATGTTAACAAAAATTCCAAGATGAATTAAAAGAGCGTTTTATTCAGATATGATTTGCAAATCAGGGACATAGCCCTTGGTGTGAACCAGAGACATGTTCCAATGTGGAGGGGATAAAGGATGGTTTCCAAAGGCAAAGTGCAGGGGCTGCTGATCAAAGAGGCGAGTGGCTGCGGGGAAGACCACAAACTTCCATCACTGGTTCTCTGAGAGGTGGGGGCAACTGCAAAATTCAAGGATCTGCTGACTCAGGGATCCCAAAGTAGGGCTGTGATGCAAGAACAATGGGTAACATGATGAGGCATTTGTCAGGTCCTAGTTCTGGTTCAGGCCGTAGAGCACAAGTTCTGGGTTATCTATATAATAAAAGCCTAAGTGACCGTTACAGCAGAATGACCAGAACAACCGGTCACTATGATGTGCACTGACTACCAGGGGGCAGACACTCAACGCAGGAGCTGCCCCCTGGTGGTCAGTGCAC